TCTTTCCCTTCCTCTCCAGAAGTTTTGACAGGTGAGAATGGGGAGGGGCAGTGAAAGGCCCTGTTGGGAACCTCCTTTTTCTTAGGTAAGAGCCAACAAAGAGATCTGTCTCCACAGCTGTTCTGCAGGGTGGGTTGGGTGCTATTTAACCCTCTGCTCTTGTTTCATCCTTGTCTCTGCCCTTTTCACTGACCTCAACTGACCTCCACTGACCAAGGAGGAGAGTTGGGTTCTGGGGTTATGTCACAGCAAGAGGCGAGGCACTGGAAAGAGAAAGGGCTCCTGGACGATCAATGAGTTTTGAAAAACCAACAGCCTAGGGGCCAGAAGGTGGTATGGTGGCTAAAGTGGCTGGATTCCCAAGTGACTGACTCTGTGGTTTGAGTCCCAGACCCAATGGCTTGAAAATCATTGGGTATATGTGTGTGCATGCCCAACATCCTGAGAGGAGAATGAAAGAAAAGGGATTGCAGTGTGACCATCCTCCCTTGGGGGTGATTCTCACTTTCCCTCTCTCTGTCTCATCTTCAGGGAGTGCACATGCCCTATAGCAAAATCCTAAAAAGAAAGCAAAGCAAAGCAAAGCAGAGCAAAGCAAAGCAAAACCAACAGCCTGTGCTAAAGAAGATCAGAGAGGTCATGTCACATGCCTCAGATCAAAGTCACATGACATATTCTGGGCCTAAATCTTCCACTAAAATGCTTTGTGTTTCTGTGCAAGGCACTTAGCTATTCTGGGTCTCAAATTTCTCCTCTGTAAAATTAGCAGGTTGGCCTATTCAACCCCTGATCTCCTTTCTCTCCTGACTTTCTGAGCTTTAGGTGTAGTTCCAGGGGTGGAGGGCAGCTGAAAAATTGCCAAGAGTGGAGCCTGTTCTTAAGTCTTCTACTTCAAGGTGGATTTTTTCTGCTCCTCTGTTGTCTGGATTTCTCTAAACGCAAAGCTTTCCCCATTCTGCAGCCCCTCTTTGTGCAGTACAGCTGAAAGTTACAAGCATTTTCCCAAATTCCCTGTCCCCATAAAGCAAGCAAAATCATGGTCAGCCCAAATCTAAGAGCTTAAAGAAAGAAAATTGACTGCTACTCCCCTGCCTCCCTGCCTTACTTCACTCTCTCTCTCTTTCTCTCTCTCTCTCTCTCTCTCTCTCTCTCACACACACACACACACACACACACATATACATAAATATGGCATTTCTGAGTTTCTATGCCATGGCACATTTCCTTCAACACAGTGATGTGAGCCTATCTGAAGGGCCAGAGGAGTCCAGCCCCAGAGTCCACACCCACTCACACCCAGTGACACCAACTCTCAGACACTTCCAGGCTCTTTGGAACCCCCTCCCCACACCCCAGTCCTAGCCCTGGTTCCACCAGCTGACACTTACCAGACACACAGTTGGGACCAAGGCAGGAGCTTCTAGTAGAGTGCTGAACCAAGCAGGGCCAACACACCCTTTATACCGGTCCCCAGCCTCGCCTCCTTCACAGCTGAAGGTGATGGACTGGTTTCACCACTTGAGTTGGTCAACTTCCTCCAGCCCCTTTTTGACTCACCATGGATATCTTAAGCAGAAAAGCCCTCAGGGCCCCCCTTTCCCATGGACACAGCTCCTGCTAAGCCAGAGGGTTCTGAGCCTCAGCTACTCCTTTGATGCTTGTCTGACTGGGAACAAGGAGAGTGAAAGGATGGCATCCTACTCTTGTGACCTCAGTCAAACTTCTCTAAACCCATTCTCCAACTGTGAAATAGGTTTATCATCATGATTAGGCTGAGAGATACATTTCCAAGAGCATAGACTGGGAAATTATGTCTCTTTCTGTGATGTACAGGCCAGGGAATGTGGTACGAAAATGGGAAGAGTCACCTCTCATGAAAGGATGGAGTTAGTGGGGAATTCTCTGGGGCCTCGGCCAATCCACTTTCAGAATATATCTGTTACCCCTTTCCATGTGAAAATAAACTCTGTTGAGGGGAGTCAGACTTCAGTTCAAGTAGAGTCAAGAAGATGGGCCTCATGGCCAGACTGTGGTCACAAAATGTCCCAAGAATGTCATGCACATAGAGACTTCTATGCAGGGTCCAGTCTAGGTGTGGAGACAGGGTGGATATACACCATACATAAAGAACAATTGCTTTTTATGATGATAAAACAAGCACTTTCCTTTTTTTTTTTAAAGAATTATTTATTTAATTCCATTTGCTGTTATTATTTTTATAATTTGGTGAGAGAGAGAGAGAGAAAAAGAGAGAGAGAGAGAGAGAGAGAGAGAGAGAGAGAGAGAGAAAGGAAACACAAGAAAGCAAGCTACCAGGTACAGGACTCGAACTGTGATGGGCTATGTGGAAATTCAAAACCTTATCTGTGATACCACCTGGCAGCCCCAACAAGGACTTTTCTATAATGTTTTTGAAATGTATGAAGGTATAAAGGTCAGAACAAAAACATCCATGCCTTGTCTAAACAAGTCTCTAAAACCAGCTTAAAGAAATCTTTCAGAGTGAGGGTTTGTGGCGTTTCTTCCCGGTGCTGATGGTGACCCAGTGCACTTGGAGCAAAATCCACATTCAGTGCCATGGTTTAAAAGGCCCCGTGGTTTTAAAAGCTAAAACGTTTGATTGTAGTTATTTCTAGGTGGTGAGATTGACTGTTCACTAATCATTTCAACTACTAGTCTTTACTATATGTGGTGGTTTTGATAGATTCTAGGGACATAACAGAAAATATAATAGGTATACTCCCGCTTTTCTCTGCCTTTCTCTGGACAAAATATATAATAGCTGTTATTTCTGCTTCTCTGAGGTCTCTATTCATGCTTGTCTCTCCCTGCCAGGTGTACTCCTACCTCACTGAAGGCCCTCACGTCCTAAGCTTCCCATCTTGGGGCTTGGCATCTGCTCTCTCTCTGCCAACAGGTGCCTCCCCAGGAGCCTGGCATTTTTGTGCCTTTTGGCTTTAGCATAAATTTTGGGGTCTGCCTAGAGCCTTCTCTGATTACCCTGTGGACAAGATTATCCTCTGGTTCATTTCATTTCACTACTAGTAACCTAGAGTTTTTTTTATTTGCATTTGTTCACTCATTTATTGTCTATTTCTCCCCCTGGGAAATAATCTCTCCAAAGACAGGGGTATACCTGTTGTATTTTCTGCTACGTCCCTAGAATCTATCAAAACGACCATGTATAATGAAATAATAAGAGAACCACCTGGAAATAACTACTATCAAACATTCTAGTTTTAAATGCATGTTTAGTGTGTGTGTACATGTTTATGTGTGTATAAAAACAACTGTATTATGACTTGTCTATCTTTTTTATTTTTAATTGACATAATTGGACATATTTATGGGTTACAGTGGAACATTTTAATACATTATACAGTTGGTTAGTATCTTTTTTTGTTAATATTTAAACTTTCTTCCTACAAGCTATTAAAAATATTAAAATAATAGGAAGATAATACTCATTTCTGGGACTGATTTTGAGAAACATCCAGATTCCCCATAGATTTCCTGATAGGCACATGCTTAGCTCCAAGTAGATCTTTCTATTTAAAGTGATTCACAGTGGAAGTTTGCCATGTTCTTGGGGCTGAATGTGGAAAACCAGCTGGGGGTACTCACTAGGGGACTCTGGCCTCTGGGCTGCTGTTTCTCTGTCCTCATATCCAGGGACCTCTCACAGCCATCCCCATAGAGCAGGGACTGTGCCTTTTTCTGGGGCAGAGAAAGTGCTGCTCCCCTCCTCCCCCGCCAACAGGAGAATTAGCACCAGACCCTTGTGCTTTGCAGCTGACCTCGCATGAGGGACTCTGCCTCTTTCTGGCTGGTAACTGTCAGTCCCAGGACAGCAGACCCAGTTCGAGGAAGTCACACCGGTCTTATGGGTTTCCAGAGGCCCAGTATCTGCCAGATCTGCCTCCCTCCCTCTGATTCACAACATAATGAGAACTTTGAGAACACGTTGTGCATGAGCCTTTGACCACTGGGCAAAGCTAGGGTGTGGGGAGGAGACATGGGATAGAGCTGAGGGAGTGTGTGTGTGTGTAAGGGAGGAGCTGGCAATCCCCATAGTTCTAGGACTTAGAGGCCCCATACCCTGTTCTTGAGCAACTCCATTCTAGGGACAGATATGCACCTATATGGGACAGATTTTCTCCACGCCTGTGTGAATGACTTCATAGGCCCCAAGTTCCATATGATGAGTCCTGGGTAACTGACAAGGCCCCGCCCAGAGTAATGAGGATGAGCTCATATCCCATGACACATGGAGAGGCCTCGACCCCAGCTTTGCTGTAGCTCATGGAGGCCCTGACTATTTCTATTCCAGAGGCGGAAACTGGCTGGTTGCTCTTCCTCTCAAGTGAGACAACCTATTTGAACTGTTGCTTAGCCATGGGGGACAAACAGGTTGATCATGGCAATTCACTGGCCTGAGGAGAGAGATGTTGAAGAGGGAAAGTGACTTGGACTGGGAGATCTCCCATATTATTTATGTAGCTCTGTCTGATTTGCTTCCTGGTGTGGCAATGTCCTCACACTCTGCAGCTGCTAACCTCCTCTCCTTTCTCACAGGTCTCCTCCTGTTCCCAGGGACACACACCATCACCTGTATCATCCCCAATCTGCATCCCACTCCGGCTGCCTCCCACACACCTGGGGTCCTCTTGTCTTCCTCTACGACCTCCTGAACCTGGCCTTGGCTCTCCACCTACCTTCTGAGCCCAGTCTGCTGTTCTGGAGGAGAATAAGGCAAGGAAGGGAGATGAGACCAAGACAGGGCCAAAAGGGCTGATTTTTCTCCCCTGGGCCTCTGTGGGTGTCTTTCTGATCTGGCCTGT